CCTCCAAAACAGAGTTCGGCGCAGTGTGCCTAACCATAAGAAAAACTGGTAACATTGCCTCAGGGTTGCTTAACGCTCAGTGGTACGCTAAGGTAAGAGCCAACACCGCGGTAACCTTGAGGCATAAGCCGAGTACGGGATGCGTAAACAATTTTCAATTCCGTGATATTCTGCTCCATATAGGCTTCGGCTTGTAGACCATTACTCCCTAGGAACGATGGTGATCGTCACCGTGGCGCAAACTTTCAAAGACACATTGCGCCCTGAGTGTATGCGTGTGCGACTCTTCGCTGGTGTTGATTCAGAATGCAACCTGAATAATGCAAAATCAGGGGGGGGGCAAGAAAGAGTCGCTGTCCCTCGACATTTAAAGGGGTCTCACAGGCAGAAGGGGTCTCGCATAATCAGAGCTACTGTCTCTACGAAACCATCCATCAGCGAACTGAATGACTGAAGAATTTAGCAGCCTCAGGTCCTCGTTCACCGTGGAGCTTAAGGATAGACCTCCTTAGGCTCCACGGTGATACAGGTGACCTTACATTTTGAGGACATGAGGAGGAGAAGGACCTGCTTCTGCTTATGGGAAGACATCTAAGGAATATTCTGCCGTAACTTCATCAACAGCGGCACCCTGTGCGACGAAAAATTTGATGATGTGCGCCATGGGCAAGTGACTTTTTTTTGCCCCTGCACTCCCCACCCCTACCCCACCTATAGACGCATAACTTCGCGAAGGAACAACAACCTGCTGTAAAGATACGCAGACCCCTTTTCATTGAGCAAGACAATTTTTCCAAACCAGGCCTATGATAGCCTTGGTCCATATAAGGCTTACGAGCTACTTGAGTATGGTCCTTTGAAAAGCGTCAATTTGCTGCCTTCGTTCGAGATCACTGTGACTTCGCACGCTACAGCTTTTGCATCACGTCAAGTAGCTATCCATCCCCCTTTGTAGCCTGCATTCCCTCTTATTCACGAACTCTTGCTAGTGCTCAAAGCTGAAACCGCAATCCTCTACCCGTCTGCGCTCCAGCCTTTCAAAACAGAGAACATGAAGGGGAGTTTAAGTAGTTAGTAACCCCATGTCAGATAAATGTATTATGTAAATGTAATAGTTGTTGCAAAGAGAATCATGTAATTTTGCGTCCAGGGTAGGATTTTTGACAGTCTCGCTGGTTCTGCACTTTTGTTAAGATCGAAATGTTTCATAACACAAAAAGTGCCAAAATCTTTTGAAAATCGATCAAAAGACCAAAAAAATGTCCAAAAGAACTCGACGTCCAGCACCTTCATCAAAAGCCAATAAGAAACACTGTTGATCAACATGGCAAGTTCAGAACACAGTATATGACCCTTCTCCAAAAAGTGACCCCCCAGCTAGGTAATGTACTCTTGCATTTACCGTTGTACTCACGACAAAAGTGGTGCGGCAATTCTATTAAAATATTATTGTGGAGGTACTAAGCGGACCGACCGGTAGTGACGGGAAAAGGAAGACCAATCTCTGTCATCACTAAAAGGCTTTATCTTCTCTCGGGTGATTTTTCGAGGCCGACAGGCACCAGAGCACTAATCGTAGAGCCACTGCGCGTCGAGAAGAAAAACGGGAAACGAGAGAATGCATTAAATTGATCTGTGGGCATGTGCCCCAAGAGGAGAAACAGATTCGGAAGTAAGAGAGCATTAAGATGACCTGAGACAGAAGCTGCTGGTGACGATAACTAGAAATATGAACAATTGGCTGGTGGAGGCGAGTTTTGCGGACGAGGTAGGGCTGCAGACAAATGAAGCTGTGGTTCAGGTGCGCATTTTTGAACCGCGAAACTGGCGCCTCTACAATTTTCGTGGGCAGCTTTAATCTCACCGAAAAAGAGATTAATACACCTGTACCTGGAGCAAAGCTGAACGACAGAATGATAAATAGTAATATAAACAATTTATTGACTAAACAAACTCGTCCATACACCAAATAGAGTTATATGTAGTGCCGACTAACACATTATTAGTAATACATATCACATTTCGGTTGCGATTCTGGGGTGGGGGCGAGGATCAACAAAGGGATAGCGAACTATCGCTTACATCAATGAAGACAGAAGAAATAGACCAAAAAAACTAGTTTATGGCCATGGAAAAAGTGGAAAAACGGGGGACAATGGGGGAGTGGGTGGGGAAACACATGTGAACAAACTTATGGTGATAAACAACAAACTGTAGCGAAATAGATAGAGAAAAGCCGAAGAGAAATGTAAAACAGTCTAAAAGAAAAAAGATACTGAAATCAGGCAGACGAACCGTTCTCGAACGGTACACTACCGTAATAAATACCGAAGAATAAAAAAAAAGAATAGACACACATGGAAAAAATACGACAGCAAATCGGCTTCGCAGTGAACTTACAAAAAAACAGCTACTTTTCGAGCTTTAGTCGATTTTTACCGTGGAGTAAATTTTTCGTACAAATTTCGCCGTTCCCACATAGCCGATTGTGCCAGTCATGAGACCAAGCGCCGCAGAGAAGATGCCCATATAGCCAAAATAGAAGACCGTTTGGAACAAACCGTACATCCTAAAAATCGAAATTAAAGAAGAGGTATTCAAGGATTTTCAAATGTCCAAAACCATTTGAGAGCAACCTTCATAACTCACTTTGTCTTGAAGAAAAAGTAATAAACCGAATACAGATACACGTATAGCGCCGTCGATGCACCTGCCATGAAGCTAGTCCACCTCCTATAACAAATTTCCTTCATTTATCAGAATGAATTTTTTTAGTTCTTCAAGTTCCTGCTTCACAAACCAACAGGGTGGTAAGTGTTTCACTTTGCCAGTGAGCAGCAGGTGAGTCGGTTAGTATACTTTAATATACTAACAGACTTCAAAAGCTTCTACTTATTCATTTCATTTCAAAGGCGCTAAGCGCCGAAAGCTCGCCAAAAGATCATCCATTCAATCCCCAGTTATA